GAATGCCTCTCCAGCACCTTAAAAACGGTAAGGCCCCAGGCGAGGATGGAATTACAGCGGAGCTTCTGAAAGCGGGTGGAAGACCGGTACTTGAAGTCCTTCAGAAGCTCTTTAATTCCGTCCTCCATGGTGGCATTACACCGGAGGCGTGGAGCAGAAGTGCGGTGATCTTGTTCTTCAAGAAAGGTGACATTGCTCTCTTGAAGAACTACAGACCGATTTCCCTTCTGAGCCGCGTCTACGTGCTATTTTCGAGAGTCATTACGAATCGTCTTGCGCGCAGACTTCACAACTTCCAGCCTCCCGAACAAGCCGGTTTCCGAAAGGGCTTTAGAACACATACCCTTCGGCAAATTATACAGAAGTCCGAAGAGTACAATTTGCCACTATGTCTGGCGTATGTGGACTATGAGAAAGCCTTTGATTCCGTCGAAATTTGGGCGGTGCTGCAGTCCCTTCAGCGGTGCCAAGTTGACTGTCAGTATATCGAAGTGTTGAAGTATTTGTACAGTAGAGCTACAATGGCTATCCGAGTACAGAACTAGAGTACGAAACCTATCCAATTGCAGAGAGGTGTAAGACAGGGTGACGTCATATCCCCGAAAGTCTTCACCGCTGCATTGGAAGACGTTTTCAAGCTTCTGGACTGGAAAGGATACGGTATCAACATCAATGGCGAGTACATCACTCACCTTCGATTTGCCGACGATATAGTCCTTATGGCAGAATCGCTGGAGGACCTCAGCACTATGCTAAATGACCTCAATAGTGTCTCCCAAAGGATAGGTCTTAAGATGAACATGGACAAAACGTAGATTATGTTTAATATCCATGTCACACCTATGCCAGTAGTTGTTGGGAGCACTGAGCTCGATTTTGTTGACGAGTATGTTTACCTGGGACAAATAGTCCGACTAGGTAAGTCCAACTTCGACCGAGAGGTCAATGAACGGATTCAACTCGGCTGGGCAGCGTTCGGGAAGCTACGACACATTTTCTCGTCAGACATACCTCAAAACCTTAAAACGAAATTGTACAACCAGTGCGTGTTGCCAGTGATGACTTACGGAACTGAGACGTGGTCCTTCACAGCTGGCCGTATGAGGAAGCTCAAGGTGGCTCAGCGAGCTATGGAGAGGGCTATGCTCGGAGTTTCTCTGCGTGATAAACTTAGATACGAGGATATCCGCAGTAGAACTAGAGTAACCGACATTGCCCAAAGGATTAGTAAGTTGAAGTGGCAGTGGGCCGGCCATATAGCTCGAAGAACCGACAACCGATGTGGAAGAAAGGTTTTCGAGTGGCAGCCTCGTACCGGTATGCGAAGTGTAGGGCGACCCCCCACGAGATGGAGTGACGACCTAGTAAGACATGCAGGAAGTCGATGGATGCAGGTGGCTCAGAACCGTGCTTTGTGGCATTCCTTGGGGAGGCCTATGTTCAGCATTGGACTTATGAAAGGCTGTAATGATGAATGATGATGATGAATAAGACAGCTTAAACACACTATACATTAAGTATAGAGCAATTACAGTTCGACCACCGTAACACGTCTCCGCCACAATAACACACCATTGTAACGTGAGGTACGTAATTACACGATAACACCAAAATATGTAAACCAACAGCAACACTACTTACCTCAATGTAACACAGGGCAGCCTCTCAGCAACACCAATTCTCCTTGCATGCACTAGAACAATTACAACAATGAACAGAACAACGATACTATCTTAGCACTAGTAGAATGACCAGACTCGTAAAATGACTTAAGCGGAATCTCTCGTGCACGGCACCTACGATGAACTTTACACTGCACAAACAAGTGGGGATTTCTCGATATACCCTCCATTCCACCTCGATCCTACCGGGAATTTTATAGACGCTCCGACAAGTATATGTAAACTGTATTTATTTTTCAACGTATTCGTTTTTGAGCTAATACACCTTGAACAGAAGTTTGCAAGTTGGTTAATAATAATAATGTAAAAGGAAATATCAGTCGCTTAAGTTTAACAGATTCATGCAGACCAGCCGTTATATCACATATTTTAAATTTAAAAAAAGTTATTTTTATGATGATCAGACGAAAGCTTAAGACTTTATATAAGTAAAATTTATAAAGGTCTAATGCTTATTATTGAAGGCTAAGATTAAATTAGATTGGAATCTCTCGCGCTCGGCGCCTACAGTGAACTTTATACTGCACAAACAAGTGGGGTTTCTCGATATACCCTCAATTCCAAGTCGATCTAACCGGTATTTTATAGGCGCTCCGACACGGCTTACAATATAATTTTGTCATTGAGGATAATATTCAAAAATATTTAAATATTTGACCTTTATAAAAGATTCTGTTGACCACTCATCCGGCCGGATATCAGGTTTCTGTCGATGCCTCTCTCGGCTCTTCGGACCATTGTCTGATCCAGAGTGTGGTGCCACTCACGCTCCCCTCGCGATTGCGTTCTGCAGGTTGCCGCCGTGTTTGGCATTACAGATTGGGACGGAATGCGGTGTTTCTTTGCATCCTACCCACGGGGGCGGTTTTGCTACTCGCCGGATGATCCCAGCGCTGTTGCTGACTCTGTCACTGATGTGGTGCTACAGGGAATGGAACGATTCATTCCATCATCTGTGGTACCCAGATCTAAGCCTTGGTTTGGTCGCTCCTGTAAGACTGCATTACGCAGTAAGCAGGAGTATTATCAAGCCTGGGCTTCGGCTTCGGCAACTCAGAATGTAAACACCAGCATGCTTAAAAAGAAGTATAACTTCGCCTCCAGGTCCTTCAAAAGAGTTATTGCCAAGGCAAGTCAGAGCACATAGGCAAAATTGGCGAGAAACTAGTTCGCCTTCCTTCGGGTACCCGTGCATTCTGGTCTCTCGCCAAGGCCGTCCAAGGGAATTTCTGTAAGCCATCACTACTATCTATGTACGGGGAGGATGACTCACTGGCCCACGCCGCAAAAAAAAGCCAACCTATTAGGCTCCCTTTTTGCGTCCAACTCGACTATTGATGACGGGGAGAACACGACGCCGACCATCCCGCGGTGTGAGTGCTCCATGCCGGATGTGCGGTTCTCACAGCGCTCGGTTCGCAAAGCACTCATCTCCCTGGACATACACAAGTCGAGTGGGCCTGACGGAATCCCCCAATTATGCTGAGGACGTGTGCTCCGGAGTTGGCACCGGTTCTAACGCGTCTTTTCCGGTACTCCTACTCCCTAGGCGCAGTCCCGAAATCGTGGAAGACAGCTTTTGTCCACCCGATCCCTAAAAAAGGCGACCGCTCAGACTCGTCTCTAACTACAGACCTATCGCCATCACCTCCTTGTTCTCCAAAATAATGGAATCCATTATTAACTGCCAGCTCATGCGGTACCTTGACGATCACCAGCTGATTAGTGACCACCAATACGGTTTTCGTCGGAGTTGATCAGCTGGTTATCTTCTGGTCTACCTGACTCATAGATATACGGAGGCAGTAGAGTCCAAGGGGGACGTGTTGGCCGTTAGTTTGTACATTGTGAAGGCCTTCGATCGGATCCGGCACAAAGTGGTTCTTTCGAAGCTCCCTTCCTATGGGCTTCCCGAAAAATTGTGCAATTGGATCACCAGCTTCCTTGCAGATCGGAGCATCAAGGTCACGCTGGTATTCCACAAGACTGTGTGCAATCACCAACGCTGTTTCTTCTGCATATCAATGATATGTTGCTTACTGGTTACATTCATTGCTATGCGGATGACAGCACTGGTGATGCTCTATACACCGGCCATGCTGTGCTTCAGTCTTTGCTGAACAAAGTCTCGAATTGGGGGCGACTAAATCTAGTCCAGTTTAATCCTCAGAAGACACAAGTTTGCATGTTTACCGCTAAAAAGAACCCCTTTGTCGTATCTCCTCAGTTTCAAGGCACTGCTATTCTTGCCTCAACCAATATCGGAATCCTCGGAGTCGACATATCGTGGTATCAGTTTCGTGGTCACTTGTAAGAGAAGGCCTAATTGGCCTCTAAAAAGCTTGGCGTGCTCAGCAGAGCGGGACAGTATTTTATTTTTTTTATAGGATAGGGTTACAAACGAACACACAGTCCACCTGATGGTAAGTGGTTGCTGTGGCTCATAGACATCTACATCTAGCCTCGTTTGCGAATCAAAATGCAGATGCGTTGTCACCTGTGAGGACTAAGATGGAATGCCTCGTTTCCAGTAAAAGGTGTCTCCGGTTCTCTGCACACACCATAAAAAACACAGCAGAGTTAAGCTGCTATTTGACGCTGGTATTCTGTGAGAGCGTGGTCCTTCCCCGGTCGAGCCGACCCATTCGTGCTACAACTATACTTCTAATATAGTTGCAGCATGGCTCTACCACGTACATAATACATTTCATGGCGGCACACCGGAATACTGTTCCCATCTTTGGGCAGGGGCTCCCCAGTGCTAGCTCCTTCCACTTGACCGCACCTAGCGCAGAGCAGCTCGAATTCTTGACGACCGAGTCCTTTCTGATCGGCTCGATTCATTGGCATGGTGAAGAGATGTTGCATCCCTTTGCATTTTCTTCTTCTGCAATTCCCCTGGTTCCCCTGGTGTTGCAGTTGTTCACGGGCGGCGGTAGTCACTTACCATCAGGTGAGCCAAATGCTCGTTTGCCCCCTCTCCTATAAAAAAAGATGTTTTGTCTATGGGCTTGAATGTCTGGTTGAGTTTGTCAGATGTCGAACGTGCTTATTTTTTATTATTATCGCCGTTGAAATTTCCCAGTTCATGCATTTTTATTTTTAACGCTACTTATGTTACCTGCGTTCACTAAAAGTATTGTAGCACGTGTAAGCAGTAATGTTTTTTTTTATTGGTGATCTAAGTATAAAAATTTTACTACACTTAACTCAAACCCATTAATTATTTCATCAGCCTCTTGCTCTTAATTGGATTATTAATTCTAAAATCCTAAGTTATATCAAACACCATTGGTACCGGCTAATACAGCTATTAAGATGCCTAGAATACTATTTTGTGCAATTATAAATTTAATGTTTTTTAAATTGGTAAAATGCTCCGAAAGGCGTCACGTGCAACCTCTTATTATTAATGGTGAAGATGCAAAAATAGAAGACTTCCCACACAGCGTTTATATATATATGGATTGCTCCGATATATGGACATGCGGATCATCAATTTTAAACCAAAAAATACTATTAACTGCTGCCCACTGTTTGATACATGTGAAATTGTGTAAAGGACAATTACACGCTTTTGCAGGTCACGAAAATATACATAAGGTAAATTATTTCGAAATATTTTTATTATTATATAGCGTTTATTTTTCTCTTAAAAAAGACTTTTGTCGATAGAAGGCAAATTCCAGTAATATTGCCTAAACCTCGAAAAACTATTGGGTGGATTCCCATAAATTTTAAAGGTTTTAACGTTATAGAGCCATGCTGCAGCTATATTAGTATTGAGTAGTATAGTTGTAACAGGAATCGGTCGGCTCGACCGGGGTAGGACAAGGCTATCACAATACCAGCGTAAAATACTAGCTTAACGATGTTGTGTTTTGTATGGTGTGTGTAGAGAACCGGAGACACCGTTTACTGGAAACGAGGCATTCCATCTTAGTCCTCACGCGTGAGAACGCATCAGCATTTTGTCTCTTTATTGAAGATAAATGTAGATTTCTATGGGTCACGGCAACCATTTACCATCAGGTGTACTGTATGCTCGTTTGTCACCCTAACCTATATATAAAAATCGATACAAATTTTACTAGAATATTGTTAAAGGTTTTCCTTTCCTATTTTAAGAAACCTGAAGAAAATAATAAGATAATTTTATGCTTTTTGTGCTGTACAACACTTAGCACGCTTTAGAATCTGATGACACATCGTCCATACACTTTTTACAATAATGAATTATTTATTTAAATATAATATCTGCTAACAAATGAGGAAATACCTACAAAAGAAAAATACATAATGTTTCATAGTTTTGGATTATTAATATTTAATCCAAAACTATGAAATAAACTTGTATTGAGAAAATTTCAGGGTAGTTATTAGTATCAGTGATGCTAGCGAAGGAGGTGGCGGAGCGGGAGAAGGAAAGAGCAACAGCTTTCCTTCCCCGCCGCCGCGGGAGACGCCCCGGGCGTCGGGGGCTACGTCGTGGCCCCCGACCACCGTAGGCGCGGGCCTGTGGACGGCGAGCAATGGGTAGCTCGCCGTCCGTCCGTCTAACGACGACAGGCCGTGTCGACGGCGCGTTTTGTTCCACGCGCGCCTCAAAGAACTGTCAGCAGCGTGAAGGGGCCCGCAAGGGCCGACGCCTGCCGGGGCTGCGGGCTGTTCGAAAGAGATACCGCGGCTCCGGAACGTAAGGGCACTGAAGGAACACGGATGGTTTTTAGTCAGTAAAAGTCTGACACTCCCTTCCGCTCCACCCACAGCGAAAGGCGTCATTAGATGATTTTCCATCCGCAAAAAAAAAAAAAAAAAGGGTAGTTATTAGTATAGAGAGAATCCTTAAGTAAGAACAAAATTCTTTTAGCTTAACTTTTTATACATATCACGTATAACATGATACAAAATATGATAACGATATGGTAGTGCGACGCTGCGGCTTCTGCTGTTCAGGTGGTTCAGCATGGTTCAGGTGGCCGGAGGCCCTACCCCCATAACATGAGTTCAAAAAGAAAAGACTACCCCAGGAGGGTAGCAGCACCCCTGTTAATGGAAAATCCCTCACTGAGCATTCACGGTCAAGCTACTCTCTTCTTCCTGAGCGCAGGCGCTCAGGCAAATTCTTCTCTATACTAACACTGCACGGGGCAAACAGAGCGATAAAATCATGGTGGACCCTGCCACACTATCCGTCGACTTCTGCAACATCAGGGAACTTCACTCAAACCTTACCGCCATCCACTACCATCTAGAGACGGCGAAGCCGGCCTTACTCTTTTTTGCCGAGACGCAGGTGTCCTCTCCGGCTGATACTTGGTACCTGTACTACCGGGGTACGAATTAGAACACTTTGTACCCCGGGCTGGAGTTTGCGTATACATCAGAGAGAATATCTGTTCTTGACGCCTCTGCAGTCTTGAAGGTACGGACCTGTCCATCCTTTGGCTACGCGTAGACAGCGACGACCATCCCCGCGTCTTCTGGTGCCTGTATAGATCACAAAGCTACAATACCGACATATACCGACTCATCTACCACGTCCAAATGGCTACAGATTTCTCGCTACAACAGATCCAATCCCTAGAAATCGTGATACTTGGCGGTTTTAACGCCCGCCACGCCGAATCGCTCGGTTCACGTTTAACCGATCATGCGGGGAGATCTGTTTATGTCTTTGCTTTGATATAAGATCTGACAGAACTGGTTTCTTTGCCTACGCAGGTTTCAGATGTGGAGGATCATACACCTTTCCTATTGGACCTTCTGATGACCTCTTATCAGGACAGATATCAGGTTTCCGTCGATGCCCCTCTCGGCTCTTCGGACCATTGTCTGATCCGGAGTGTGGTGCCACTCACGCTCCCCTCGCGGTTGCGTTCTGCAGGCAGCCGCCGCGTTTGGCATTACAGGTCTGCGGATTGAGACGGAATGCGGTCTTTCTTTGCATCCTATCCATGGAGGCGGGTTTTATTTTTGCCGGATGATCCTAGTGCTGTTACTGACTATGTCACGGATATGGTGCTACAGGGAATGGAACTATTTATTCCATCATCTGCGGTACCCATCGTAGTTAGATCTCAGCCTTAGCTTGGCCGGTCCTGTAACACTGCATTACGCAGCAGGAGTGTTATCGGGATTAAACTGAGGCTTCGGTGGCTCAGGATGTAAACACTAGCATGCTTAAAAAGAAGTTTAATTTCGCTTCCAGGTCCTTCAAAAGAGTAATTGTCAAGGCAAATAATTAGCACATTGGCAGAATTGGCGAGAAATTAGGTCGCCTTCCTTAGAGAACCCGTGCATTCTGGTTTTTTTTTGGGTTCCCTTTTTGCGTCCAACTTGACTATCGATGACGGGGGGTACACACCGCTGACCACCCCGCAGTGTGAGTACTTCATGCCTGATGTGCGATTCACACAGTGCTCAGTACGCAAAGCAATTCTCTCTCTGGACATACACAAGTTGAGTGAGTCTAACGGAATCCCGCCAATTGTGCTGACGATGTGCGCTCCAGAGTTGGCAACGGTTCTAACGCATCATTTCAGGTACTTCTACTCCCTAGGCGTTGTCCCGAATTTATGGAAAACAACTTTCGTACACCCGATCTCTAAAAAAGATAACCGTTCTGATCCGTCCAACTACATCCTTTTGCATATCGCCATCAACTCCTTGTTCTCGAAAATAATTGAGTTTTTTTTATTAACTGCTAGCATATGCGGTATCTTGAGGAGCACCACCTGATTAGTGACCGCCAGTACGTTTTCCGTAGGGTTGCTCAGCTAGTGATCTTCTTGTATATCGTACACATAGATGGGCGCAGGCGATTGAGTCCAAGGGGAGGCGTTGGCCGTTAGTTTGAACATAGCGAAGGCCTTCGATCGGCTCTGGCATAAAGCGATTCTTTTAAAGCTTCCTTCTTAAGGGCTTCCCGAGAAATTGTGCAACTGGATCACAAGTTTTCTGATTGTTCTGAGCATCAAGGTTGTATAACGTTAAAAAGAACCCCTTTGTCGTATCTCCTCAGTTTCAAGGCACTCCCCTATTGCCTCAGCCAGTATCGGAAACCTTGGCGTCCACATATCGTGTGACGTGCAGTTTCGTGGTCACTTGAAAGAGAAGGCCAAATTGATGTCTAAAAAGCTTGGCGTGCTTAGCAGGGTGAGACAATATTTCTTGCCAGCACGTCGTAAGCAACTGGCTTATTGTTAAAAAAGGCGCAGTATTCCATCTGAAGCCACATGGATTACTGTTTGCATCTCTGGGCTGGAGCTTCTTAATGCCAGCTCCTTCCACTTGACCACATCCAGCGCAGAGCGGCTAGAATCGTGGACAACCGAGTCCTTTCCGATCGGCTCGATTCACTGGCGCTGCAAAGAGATATTGATCTCTTTGCGTATTTTCTCGCGTCTACCACAGGAAGTCCTTTGACGAATTATTCGGACTAATTCGAGGCTCACTTTCACTGTGATGATTGGCGGTCCACCACTGTGCAATTCACAAGAAGTTTTCTTCCTCGCACAACTTCCTTGTAAAATCGATTACCACCAGCATTTTTTACAGACCAATACGGCTTAGGTACCTTCAAGAAAAGAGCTTCTTTTTAAAAGGCATTTGCAACTCCAATGGTGTTGCAGTTGTTCATGGGCGGCGGTAGTCACTTACCATCAGGTGAGCAGTATGACCATTTGCCCCCATTCGTATAAATAAAACTATATTATTTTCACTTTCTTTTTTAAGAAGGTTCTTGCTGTTTTTCATTCCATAGACACCCCTATTGATGTGCCATTAGCGAAACAAAAAACAATGTCGATAAATTCATTTAATATGTAATGCAATACTTACTTATATCAATGAAAGCTTATGTAAGCTTCATCTGACTTAAAACAAACGCATAGTCAATTAATGCGGATTTTCGTACTATCGTTGTACAATTTAAATATATCGTGAAAAGGTCACTATGAAATTTAATTAAATTCAGCCGGTATATTTCCGCCAAATCATCCTTAGACTTATGATGGGTTCCACTAAGAATAATAACTGTGTTTCTTTAATTGACACTGGGTTTGCTTTACGGAACGTACATTCATAAATGGCACTGCTACAATAATACAATCGATAACAATGGCACTACCGCGGTCTGACTTCTCTTTTGTCGCGAGATCACTGCTACAAATTGATGACAAAAGTATTACCCGTTTTTCGCTCTGCTCCCTCAACATATTATCCTATTCGTTAATTAATGACAACCTATCAAAAGTCCACTGCTGATTGTACTGGTAATATTTGCCAATGTTTTATTATTTTGATTAGTTATTAGGAAGATACTATTGCCTATCTTCTGTTTGATTTCTCTCTGTCGTCTTTACGATACGCATATATATATTATTTGGTAGGATGTAGTGGATTCTTTTACGCTGCAGCTACAGGGCATTATCAAGATCCTGCCTTTATGAAGATATTTCGAAATATATTTATCCAATCATATCAAACTTTTTTGTATAGTCGATGGTTTCATTTTCTGCTTAGCAAGTGGTAAATATAAATAAATAAAAAATAATTGCTGCATGTATGATAGATCATCTCACAGATGAAAACTCACACTCACAATTGTACCCGGTAAGTAACGCTGTTGTCGAGATCTAGAAAATCAGCATCATAGTAACAATAATCAACATATAAAATTGGGATTACAAATTGGATCCAACTCGTTTATGTACCGGGTGTCTGTCAAGGCTTAGTATTTATACGAGTACCTCCCTAAAATTTCGGTCACACATAAAGTCAGTCGATATTCATATTCTCCTCTTAGAGGGAACTCACCACAACATTGACTGACCATACTATCACGGCTTCTCTCGATTACGTTATTAACCATGGATAACTATCAGCTCCTGCTTTTCGCGACATGATCTTATTTAAATATTATATAAGGTAATTTCTCCTAAGTACAATCCCGTTGTACTAATATTCGTAATTTGTCTAGAATAAATTTTGATAAACTTAAAAGTGACGCCTATTGTATTGACTTAACATCTTTATTTAAATCCACTTCTATTGACGATGAAGTTTCCATAATTTATTATATAGTCTTTACATCATTCATGCTCCCAAATGTCAGGTTAGAGTGAAGCGTCCACCAGCCCCGTGGATGGCTAAGGCCGTAAGGTTGGCAATGACTAAGCGAGATTGAGCATTTGTGAAAATTAAGAAGCGGAGATCACAGGAGAGCCGGAATTACTACGAACTGTTACGAAAAAGATGCAATCAGATGTTACGAGATGCTAAACACTGTTATATCCATAACACCCTGAACAATATTGCCAAACTCTTCGACCACTTAGGCCGTTACATCTGACCGTGGTCCTTCAATCATTCTGGATGAAATAAATCATCACTTTATTTCTACTTCTCCTTTAGATTCCACAGTTTGCTCTACAACAATAGCTTTCATTCAATAAATGCCTTCTCCTCCTATTCCTTTTTTTCACTTCTTACCTGTGACTGTGGATGATATACAGAAATCACTATCGGTTATTAAGTCCAAGGCTGTGGGTTGCGATGATGTTTGCAAAGTTATGGTTTCTTTGATCCTGGAGTGCCTTTATCTGCAATCACACATATCATAAACTATTCCCTTGACTCAGACCAATATCCTATTTAGTGGAAAAAATAATCTGTGCGACCACTCCCTAAAATACCTAATCCCTCATTACCTTCCCATTTTCGACCAATTCAATATTCCCATAACTATCTAAAGTTCTGGAAGCCTGTATTCACAAGAAAATCTATGTTCATAATCAAACATAACCTGCTGAATCAAATCAGTCAGGTTTTCGCGCAGATCACAATACTGCCATTGCCTTGATAAAAGTCACAGACGACATAAGAATGGGAATGAATAAGCAGAGACTTACAGTCGTAGTGTTTGTTGATTTTTCAAATGCTTTCAACACAGTCGACCACAATATCCTCATAGCCTTCCTAACTAATCTTAGATTCTCAATCCCAGGTCTGGAATGATTTTCATCCTATTTTCGCGGTCGCCAGTAATCAGTACTATTAGGACAAGGGTTCTCAACATGGGACGACATTGAAACAGGCGTGCCGCATGGCGAAATACTTTGTCCTATAATGTTTTCTTAATTTATAAGATTTATCACTTCAGTTCTCAACTGTTGGTACCATCTATATGCAGATGATCTTCAGCTCTTTGTGCAATCCAGTGTTAACGAGTTTAACGGTAATATTAGTAATCAATAAGACATCTATCGAATTCGTGGCCTTTACGGTGAATTGCTTAGTCATGATTCTCCGGTTGTTCGGGCGCTTTCTAACACTGTGTATTTGTAAAGACATAATCCAAAAGCGAGAATACCATAGCAGAACCTCGCTTGGAAATACGGTCGTGTACCTTATTATAAGTACACACCGGAATCCGTGCTCGAAAATTACCGTGTTATGCTCAACTGGGATCAGACCACTATCACGGATATATTTTTATTCGATATAATCATTCCGTATGAAGAGAGCCTTGTGAAATCCAAAAAAGGGAAGCGAACTAAAATCTGTAGCAAAAAGGATTCATGATCCTTTAAGATCATCTGAGACGACTAGGACTACGTGACGTATCGCTACGGGCTCAAATCCAGACGGCGATGCTCCTTGATGCCGCCTGCATCGTCCGCCGATTTTCTTGACACTGCCCTGTCTCCCATGCCAAAGGGCTTCGAATTGTTTGCTTTATTTTACATTATTGTGTTTTATTTTATATATTATTTTTAATGTGGCGGCGCTGTCGTCGCGCCACAAGCGAAACACATCAAAGCCTAAATCGCGCTAACAAATTTTCGAAGCTAAAGCAGCATATATAGAATAGCTCCGAACTACCAATCGGAGCGTTGGCAGCCCCCCGGGCAGAATACCTTGCCCAGCGAGAGATCCCCCCTTTTTCTTCCAACGCCACAGTGGTGACCAACCAACGTGGTATGAACACGCAACCAACAACCTCGGAAACTACAACTTCAAAACCTTCGTCATTATCCTCAAGTACCCCATTCATTCACTCCCGAGCAGATATTGTCTGCAGTCTTCATAATTTTTTCTCTGCTTGAAAAAAATACAATACGAAAAAACTCCCGAAAGTTAACCAAATTTCAGTCATTCGAGAGTCCAAAGGACCTGGCAGCGCTACTAAAAGACCCGTTCTGTCATGATAGGGCCTAGTTCTGGAAAAAGCATGTATCAAACTATGATATGATCGTTTTCTAGTTAACCAAGCGTTGAGAAATCGCAAGCTTCGTATATGGTCCTCAAGAACAAACTCCAATAAATAAGAAATGTGAAAATCAGTCTATGAACCGTAAGGAGGAGGCTTTTCGTTGCCAATATACGCTTTGCCCAGCCCATGGCCCTAAATTAATCCATGAGCACCAAGTTGCCAGGCTTAGCTTAGCTCGAAATAGTATGTAATGGAGTCAAGAAGACTAGGATATGGTGTTGTTTTTTTTTTGCAAAAGCGTTTATGTTCTTGATGAATTTTAGGCCGTGGTGACAAGGCGCGGAAAGAGTATATTGTTCCACGAAAACTACGATAGAAAACCATACCTCAGAAACGATATTGGATTAATATTTTTAGAAGAAAGTCTACCTTTAGGAAACACAATGAAAAGAGTGGTACTTACCAAACAAAATAGTGTCGGCCTTACCGCCATGATTGCGGGATGGGGAATCATAAATGTAAGTAAAGGTCTATAATTTTCAGCGTCCAGCTAAGGTTCGACTTTCTAAGTAGAGCTACACATTCCTTGATGTAAAGTATGTCCTTTAAAGGTGAGAGAGGATATTAAGGGTTTGCTCAAGACCAACAATGGGCTAATGATGATGATGAAAGGCTTAGAGCAATAAGAGTGAGTGGCCTTGTAAGAAAACTGAACGAAAAGCTCACATGAATAACATTTCTTATAAATTCGCAACTTCTATAAAAAAATGATCGATTGTTCAGGGTATGTGTACAGAACATCATCCTTAATTAAATGTAAGCAAAATATTTGAATATTAAAAGACATTTTTTCAGATTTCCTATGGTAAATTTGTCAACCCCCTCATCATCATCATCACCATTATAATCCTTCACAAATCCACTGCTGAACATAGGCCTTCCCCAAGGAATGCCACAAAGCACAGTCCCGAGCCACCTCCATCCATTGACTTCCTGAATGTCTTACCAGGTCGTCACTCCATCTAGTGGGGGGATTCCCTACACTTCGCCTGCCGTTCGAGAACCTTTCTTCCCCATCGGTTGTTGAATTTTCGAGCTATATGCCCGGTACATTACCATTTCAGCATACTAATTGTTTGAGGTATGCCGGTTACTCTGGTTCTACCGCAGATTTCTTCGTTTTTAAGTCTATCATGCAGAGATACGGCGATCATAGCCCTCTCCATAGCTCGCTGAGCAACTTTAAGCTTCCTCATATGGCCTTCTAAGGAAACAGAACTTTGGGGGTATTTTGAATAAATTGCCATACGGGAACTCGAGTCACAGAATGGATAATAATACAAGTACTCTAACGCGTGACCATTTAGTAGAATCTGGCGTTAGAACGCCTTAGTGTAGGAGGTCTATCATCTCAGATTCAACGGAACAGTCGCACGCTGGAGTGTAAGCGCTTTAGTGTAGGAACTAAGCGACAAGCGTGCAGCTGGTCGGAGAGTTCTACGTGCATATAAACTCAGGCTTTTAAACTATAATCCTGGAGAGCGCTAATTGGATTGTTTTGCATAGCGTCGCATTTGCCATACATTTTGAGCGATCACTAACTGCGAAACCGCAATACAGGAGCGTATGAGAATGATATAAAAGAACACATACTGGCTGGCCATAGACATTCTTGTAAAGTCATCTAAATATAACGAGGAACGTTTTGACTCCTTATTAAAATCTTAAAATTAATATCAGAGTTCAATGCTAGGTTCCTTAGGGACAGGGTGTGTTAATAGTATGACAAGCTGTATTAATTCATTTTCTTCACCTACACTCTCGGACAGTACCATAACAGCAGATAAATTCAAAAAGCTATTTATTTAGTGAAAATAATAATGTTATTGTGTGTTATGCCTGGAGCATTATTCAGTTATATATTTTTTCTGTTTATTAAGTTTACCAATAATTGCTATCACTAATACATCAAATTAGTATAATTACTTAAAAGTATTAACAAAAGTGCTACAATTACTTAAAGTTATACTCCGCACGCATACAACTTTATAAAATATAAATGGAAAAGACCTCAACTAAAATTAAAAATATATCTATAACTAAGAATAGTGCCGCATAAACTAAAAAAATAAATAAAAAATCTCTTTTACTTTACGATATCAACTTATACATTTACGGAGACACTTAGAGAATATAAAGGTTGAGTCAAAGTGAATGTCGATTTGATCGCTGTATCCATTAATAACTTTGCAGAATCTGGCATAAGGAGAATTTCTTCCCAATAATGTTCTTCTTAATGGTGGACTAAGTGGTGCAATAGAGCTGTGGGGTAATCTCGAAGGTTCACGAAACTTAAAAAGTTCCATTAAACTGGGGCAATTAAATGTAGGAATAAATATTTTATGTGAAAACTGCAACTACCTAATGCTAGATGCCAGAGGAACTGCTTTTGAATACGTTCAATACGTAATGAAATAAAGATGACGTAGAGGTTGAATATGTTCATGAGTATGTTTATTTGGGCCAAATAGTCTCTTCTAGTTCCAGACGAGGCAAGAAAAAGAGATAAAAGAGACGAAATATGGTGCTCAAACCTGGTCTCTCACCAAAAAGCGGAGGTCCGATCTCGGGATGTGTCAGTGAGCAATGGAGCGCAGCATGTTAGGAGTTACTAACAGACCGCAACAGAAATACTACTTTGTGCTTCAGAACTCAAATCACTGACATCTCCCGTAAATCCGCCAAATTAAAATGGGACTGGGATAGTCATGTCTGTCGTATGTCAGAAGAACTTTGGGCCAAAATTACAACTCGGTGGACTCGCATAAATGGCAGACGACCCCGAGTCAGACCCAGAAAACGATGGCTTGATGAACTGGACTCCTTCATGAAAGTCAGGTCCTCTATAGCACAGAACTGTGAAAGGTGGAAAGTGGTTAGGGAGGCCTTCGCCCAGCAGTGGGACGTAATGAGCTAATAAAATAAGATAAGATACTTTTAACAATTACTTAGATTCTAATATAACTTTTGCTTTCTTTTATGAAACTTGTTTATTCCCTCAAACGCGATATAAAAACTAGTTAAAATAAAAATCTTTTCAGGACGAAACAAAAGAGGGCACCTTTATTCTGAAGTCTGCCACACAAGTAGTAAGGGATATTCGCACTTGTCACTTATGGGGATTGCGACCTGGTTTGATGTGCGCAGGCAGTACCAATATTGATCTGCCAAGACCTACTCAGTAAGTAAATCTTGAGTGATTAGTGATTTCTCATAAGCAATAAATTATGGCAATCTAGTCAATCTATTTATTTAAAACATAAAAGATTTTTAATATTGATATGGTCATAATAAGATGTTGTTAGGTTAGTTAATTACGTAATAACTTAAGAGAGAAGGACCCTTAAGTAGGGACTAAATAAATTTACCGACTTGGTATTACATGGATCTCACAACTTTTTACGGTGGATGAACTGAGTTGCGAGACTTGGTTTTTTTACAAGTTATGTTTTTGATGGCATCTAATTATCTACGTGATTCTGTAACTCTGTAAGGAAATCAGTATTCAGTAAATACACAATGATAACGATTTTTGATTTGGTTTGTCTTAGATATATAAAAGTATTGTAATCTATAATTATTGGTTAATATCTATGATTTTCTGAAACGAGTATATCCTATAACGAAGAGATGAAGAAGGTATATCTTATTTATTCAGATGTAATATCTGGTTTACTTTCGAGCGCTAATGTTTCTTTCCAATTTGGAATTGTGTATATCCTACATATTTTACGTTATTATTATTTCTTGGAGTTCGATGTCAGATGTTCTGTAAAGAGACGTTGCACTGCAGCGGTATCTAATATAGTTAGTCAGTTGGCTGATAAATATTGAATGTTGTACCGATATGCACGATTTGTATCGCCCACTGCTACTAGGTTGATCAATAAGTTTTTGAAAACGTAATGATACTCTAAAATAAATATGTGTAAATTGTATTTATTTTTCAACATAATCGTATTTAAGCTGTATTATCTTAAAGGCGATTCTGTTGAAAAATAAATACCTTGAACAGAGTTTTGCAAGTAGGTTCATTCCCTTGTAAAAAAGGCTTGGTCCTGGGACTAGGAAAAGGAGCACACCTCATCTTATGGTCGCCGTCGGATTTTATAACACGCAAGTGCTTTTTTAGGTGAGTATAATGGTGAAAATCACTCTGAGCTAGTTCCGGAGAATTTGGGGGGTGCTGCATTAACTAACAGCAGTTCAGATGACAGCGCTTGCGACATTAGCTTGATGATTAGGGGCATTATCATGATGAAATCCTATTCCAAAATTTGATTTACTGATCTACTTAGTATTTTGTATAATTTCAGAGGTAGATTGATGAAGGGATGTAATAATGTCGATGAATGATTACGATCTGATGTTTCGTTTTTCCGTAGAAATACATTTTACACTACGGCAAACACCCCTATTATACATGATGATATGATCAGATACGATAATGGCTTTTTATTCAAGCTGTTCCATTAAATAATGCAACTCATATAATATTGGTGCTATTTCGTACGGTGAGGGACGAGAACCGAACGGGGAATTCCATCTAGTTCTCAGGGGTTCAACGGATCTGTCATTATTAGCCCCTACAATTGTGACATTACATTTCCAGAGAACAGTATCACTAACACAAATATTGACATTAATTTTAATTATTAATTTATTTAACTAAATTATTTTACTTTATTTTTCAGAGGAGATTCCGGGAGTGCTCTTGTCGTAGAAAAGCATAAGCAGATCGGCTTAGTATCCTTCAGATACCCATCACACCCTGGTCTTATATTTTACACAAACACCTCTTACTTTTACGATTGGATTAAAGATAATTTGCGATTATTATTAAACTATAAAAATAAATATGCCCAAAATGAAATAAAAAAAAATAAAAATTATTACGAAATGAAATATTAAAAAATATTTTTTCTTTAGTATAAATAGCAAAAAAAAACTTGGAGATATCTAATAATGGTATTTGGGCAAGTCGTTCAACAGTAGGAAAACAACTTTAAATTCCAATTAGTACTACTATATTCAAAAATATTTCGATACAGTATTTGTGTGTCAATAAAAATGGTCATAACAACTGAGTAATTTTCTTAGTGTTTACTTTATCATACATTGTTCTGAACAGCAAACCCTCTTCAGTGTAATTGCATATTACAAACTATGTAATAACTTTGACTCCGACTCAATTGTATACTAGCAATCATTTTGGAAGCTGGCCGTTATGGCTTACTATATTAATTTCTTTCTGTTAATTATAATAATTTTCTCTCTTTGATTTATATAATTTTAGTAACCAAGCTGTATTTGTTTTTACTTCTAAGCAAGCAATGTCATACTTTAAGTACTTGTTACATTTAAATTACATACATAAACACTCACGCCTGTCACCCAGAGGGGTAGGCAGAGACTACGGACTTCCATTTGGCGCGATCCTGACACACCTCTCTCGCCTCTTTTACATCCATATATCTACGCATACACGCTCGTCGGTTATGGGTACTCCTAATCTGGCCCATTTTTAATGTATCGCCGATTTGGTCGATAAACCTTCGTCTAGGGCGTCCCTTCCCGACCCTGCCGTTCACTTCCGCAACATAAATTTGCTTTGTCACTCTTTCCTCGTTCATTCTTTCTACATGACCAAACCACCGAAGCATTCCTTTCTTAATCCTTGTCACAACGTCAACTTGCAGACCACACTTTTCTCTTATCACACTATTTCTCACCCTGTCATTCAGATTCAGCCCTAGCATACTCCTTAAGGAACGCATTTCTACAGCATTTATTCTACTCTCATGCTTCTTCTGCCAGACCCAACTTTCACTACCATACATTAAAGTAGGGACTAACACAGCATTATGAATTGCCATACGTGCCTTAGTTGACACATTCTGACTCCTCATAATAGCGTGTAGAGCCCCATTCACTCTATTTCCTGCGTTCACTCGTCGTTCTATATCCTTATCATATCTACCATCCCTGCTAAATAAACATCCCAAATATACCAATTCATCCACTTGCTCAATCAACTCCCCTTCTATTCTTATTTCACATAAAGTTTTACTTTCTTCTCTTTCAAAAACCATCACTTTCGTCTTACTTGCGTTCACTTTCATACCCCTTTCTTTCAATGACCAATTCATTAAAGTAACCATCATTTGCAACTCGGCCGCCGACGATGCAAATATGACTTGATTATCGGCGTACAAAAGGCATTTGACGGTTGACTCACCCATTCTCAACCCACATTCTTCAACTTTCAAAGTTTGCAAACAACTGTCCATAAATAAGTTAAACAGCCACGGGGAAGCCACACATCCCTGTCTGACACCTTTATGAATGCCAAACCAGTCCGAGTAGACCCCGTTGATCCTGACACAAGCACTAGAGTCCCTATAAAGAGATCTTAATGCCTGTATCAAGCCAGCGCTCAACCCAAATGAGTTCAGTGTTTGCCATAACACATTCCTGTCCACTCTGTCATAAGCCTTTTCCAAGTCCATGAACGCACAAAAAAATTTCTGGTTTTTAGCCAAAAACTTCTCCGCTATCATGCGCATGGAAAAGACTTGATCCGTACACCCCATCCCCTTTCTAAATCCAGCTTGCACATCCCAAATTTTTCCATCAGTTTCTTCCATAACTCTTTCAATTAACACCTTAGCATACAGTTTACCCACAATGCTAAGCAAGCTGATACCACGGTAGTTTTTACAGTCCTGCTGCGACCCCTTTCCCTTATATATTGGGACTATAACGGCTTTGCACCAGTCTTCCGGTACCCGTTTCAGTTCCCAACATAAATTAAACAAGGTGTGCAGCAGGCCTGTCACCACACCATCACCAGCCCTTAGCATTTCGAGTGATACTCTATCATATCCGGCTGCCTTACCTGCTTTCATGGTTTTCATTGCTTTCATTATTTCATCTACACTTATCTCCCTACCTCTCTCCACTTCTTCCGGAATTGCTATTTCACTTATTCCAGACGACTCTTCACTCTTAAACACGCTTTCAAAGAATTCCTTCCATCTCTTTAAATTCGAAACTTCATCATTCAGCATGCAGCCATTCTCGTCTCGTATAGCATTTATTCTAGGCTGTTTTGAATTTCCCCTGACAGTTCTTACGAGCTTCCAGAACATTTTAATATTTGCCTGAAAGTTATCAGATATCCTTCTATCATTCTTATCTATCCTTTCTTGCTTTTTCCTTTCAACAACTTCTTTTACTCTCTTATTTATACGTCTAAAGTCTGCCTTTTTTCTTTCAATCTCATCATTCATACCGCCAGAATTACCAGCTTTAGTTGCTAGTAAATCTAGCCATGCTCTCTTCTTTGCTTCAACTTCCATCCGTACCTCATCATCCCACCACAACGTATTACTTTTCCTTTCATTCGTTCTCTTACTTACACCGCATACTTCGGTGGCTGCATCCACCAAAACTTTCTTAATATTATTCCATACATTCTTCAATTCTAAATCATTCATACATAATTCATTCAACCCACTTATATTTTCCCTCAATCTGCATTTATACTTCTCTTTCACACCTTCATCTTGTAACCTCTCTATTCTTATACGCTGTAACGCAGTGGTAGACACCGATGTCCGATGCCGCCAACGTCTGAATAGACCATTAATTCGGCATAAGACCAAGTAATGATCCGTCCCTACGTTGGACCCCCGGTAAACCCTTGTATCTACCACTGCGCTCCTCATTCTTTCATCCACAATTATAAAATCTATCATGCTTCTATCATCCCCTCTTTCTCATGTATACATGTGAATCCTCTTATGGCGAAAGAAAGTGTTCGCCACAAAAAGATTCTTTTCCACACATACGGTGAGGAGGTCTTCACCATTCTCATTTATTCTTTCATCGCCAAACGTTCCTAATATCCTTTCATAACCAGACCTCTTCACCCCAACCCTTCCATTAAAATCTCCTAACATAATAATATTTTCATTTTCCTTACATTTCATCAACACCAGCCTTACCATGTCCCAAAACTGCTCTCGGATATAAGTGGGCTTAGACATATCTGGGGCGTACACCCCTAGCACAAACAACTTCTTTAAGCCCACTTTAATTCGTATCCACAGCAGACTTGGGCTAACACATTCATAGTCTTTCACACATTGACCCATTCTTTCTGAAAGGATGACACCGACTCCCTGGCATGCCCGCTCGGTCTCGTCTACTCCAGACCAGTAAGCGGTATACATGCCATGTGCAGTGACATCTCTTCCCTTTCGTTTCGTCTCGTTTACACATAACACATCTATTCCTCTATCATTCATCATTTCGCATACTTCATCCATCTTATCATTCATTGCTCCACATACATTCAGCGTGGCCAGACGGGCCTCCGCAATCCACTTTTCGCCCCCCCGGGAGACAGGACGTGACGGGTGGCGAACCTCGTCGCCGGTTTTTCTCCCGGAGATTCTTCGCACCCCTGCCCCATTAAAGGGGCGCCGGGAACTCGGGGCCATTTCTTTTCCTTCTTGGCTCATGGTGCGAACTAAAGGGTGGTAAATTTTATGCCGCTACCATACGGCGAGGAGCCGAGGCTGTCGTTTCGGCTTTGTCGCTCGTTTAGCACCACCCGGGGGACACGTGTAGGGTGGGCCTAGGATTAGGTGGTCGAAGCCTACGGACGCGAGCGACTCATCCCCCTTCCCATTTAAATTATTTTTGTAAAAATTATAGTTTAGATATATTTTTAATGGAAACCACCTATTTAAATAAATAAAATTAAAAAAATGACTCATTTGACAAACAATAATTTTTAACTTAATTATTTCAATGTAAAATAGTGTAAAATAGCAGCTTAATGCTGTTATGTACGGTGAGTGTAGACAAGAAGACTAAGATAGATTTTTGATATTGATATGGTCACTATAAAATTTTGTTAGGTTAGATAATTACGTAATAATTTAAGACAGAAGGACCCTTAAGTAGGGACTGAATAAATTAACCGACTTGGTATTACATGGATCTCACAACTTTTTACGGTAGAAGAACTGAGTTGCGAGACTTGGCTTTTTTTACAAGTTATGTTTTTGATGGCATACAAATTTACAGGGATCTTTCCCAGGGATAAATCTCTTAAAGGCGTCTAAAATTTTCCCGAACTTAGATCCCTTAGTAACAAGGCATACGAATAAACATGAATAAGCCTTCTGGCTGCATATGTACTACGAATACGCGTCAATGTAATACAAATTGGGTCAGAGAAATCCACTCTTGTGTGTAAATACAATGTACTGCTCTAATCGGCAAACACGCAAAGCAGAAATCATAGGGTAAGTAGCTTTAGGTTTATGTCTAAAACCTTTGTTACACCTATGTGGTGGGTACTTGTGGACGACTACGTATAAGTGTAAAGAAAATGTATTTCTTTAATATTCTGTCTGTGGATTTATCTGTATTTGTGTAGTGTAGATAGAATCTGTGAAATAACATATTGACTCTATTGACTGTTGACAATGATGAGCTGCCTGTAGAAAATTATAATTTAAGTTTATTAAAAACAGAATTGTTACAAAGGAAATTGACATATTAAGGAATAAACTTTAAATGTCGTTTCTTTGTTTACAGGTTTGTTTTTAGTTATTATTGTAATAGTGTAGTTTCCTAATGGAACTTAAAACTAATAAAATATAAAACTTTGTTTACAGAGCAACACAACATAGTTTATTTTAGTCAACCCTAAAAACAATATATCTTACGTCTCATATAAGTATAATTGTCATAGTTAAGAAATAAATCAGTGTGTTACTTGCAAGCAGTAGTTTCACTCGTGCCCCCTATAACGCATACTTACCAGTGGCGACGAATACCCACATATAATTTTTTTTAAATGGCCACAACGCAGTTCGGAATTTTATCAATTT